TTTCTAACTGTTTAAAAAAGGTTTTGAGTGTTAACCCAAAACGAAAATTGGGATCAAAACTCATACGACAGTCTAGTTTTTGGCGCTTTTTGCCATTATTGCTCATTATTGAAAAAAAGTTCCTCTTAAATAACATTTCCTTTTTTCCCCTCGTTTTATTTCTTTAATAAATTACAATTGTTCCCCGTTTGCATTGCTTTCTGCGTCTCGAAAGCAAACTTCCATGATTATACATCCACTTGAGTTGGTACTCTGAAAAACCGGAAATATCGGTCGAAGTGGCTTTTAAAATCATAAACAGTAACATTTCCATAGTAAATAGGCGTATGCACTCACCAATATTGTAAGCTTTTGTGTTTTATTTTCAACGTCTTTTTCAAAAACAAGGAAATTACGAAAATCAAAGATTTTCAAAATTCTTAGGCACAAGAAGAACTGAATTTGCGACTTTTAAATGGCTTTCGCCCTGTAGAACCTATGACAACGCAGCAAATTTAAAGATAGCCAATCGGAAGTCTTTGACCTTACGATGTTTTTTATGGCTACTTCGTCAAAAAATCCCTTTAATTTTGTTTGACACAGATTTGACACATGATATCCATTATTCACAATTCTATACTCTGGATTTGATGAAAATTTTATTCAATTAGAAATATGGCGACAATATGAACATTTTCATTAGTAGATAAAACATTATGGTTCGTAATCGCTGGTTTTTCCTAACAAGATTTAATTTGTACCTCGTAATTTATTTATATGAATTCTCTCTGTGCTTCCTTTGCTATAAACTAGATATTTAATTGCCGCTTTTTTGTTTACGATTCGAAGAGCTCTTCTCTTTCGTGTGAATAGAAGAATTATTTCATTTTGGGGCTTATGAAAAATTTAGATTTCAATAATATTTGAGCGTTGAACACTTGGAAGTAATTTGTCATTCAAATGTCACATCGATAGTAAACAATTCTTTAGTGTTTTCCATTGAATGCTCATACAGAAAACCTATTTTAAAACTGAACCGTGTTTACGTTTTCCCGTGAAAACAAAACACTTATATCTATACACCATGAGCGAAGTGTTGGTAGTAGATGATCAAGCGAGGCTAATAGGTCACTCAAACAGACGCCTAATGCAGCTTTCTTGCTTTCATTGTTTATCAACAGCTACTGTTCGTCCTTATTCAGCTTTCGTCCCGAGGAAGAGCACCAGTATCGGCTTTGGAATAAGGTAATCATTCCTGAAATCTTTCATTTTAAGCTGATCTTTTGTCTAATATTTAATCAAACGTTTTCCACTGAACGCGTGTTCTAAAACGCCACATAATTTATTTATCACACCATGAAGTTCTTTCACTATTTTCCTATCCTTGAAATCTTTTTCCCCCTTAAAGATCCTCTTATATTTAATTCCTAAAATCATTGTTGTATTTTTAATATTTTATTTTAATTTCACCTTTGGATAAAATCTTATAAACCCAGTTTATTCGCCAACGTCCATACTTCTATCGCGAAGTAATCTCTTTACACGATACAAATATTTCCCGCTCAGCTGAACTTCAGTTCGCTTATCTCTGAGGTATAGTTTTATCAAACGGATGAATCAAAAAAATAGACAACGCTATGTCCTCAAATTACTTTTTCTTGTGTAAACAATTACATGTTATAACGAATATTAGTTTGTCTTACGATGAAAAAATGTCACAAAGTGTCAAAATCTTCGCGAACGTAATAACTGCTTTACCGTACGTTTATTGATTTTCTTCTGTGGTCGTTAAATTCAGGAATTTGTTATTGTATAATTGGGGAGCAAGGCAGTTATGAATGCAGCAACTGCTTTTTTTTCGCACTCCTTTCTAAATGCCTCATTGGGTAAGATTGAAGGTGATGGCGAAAATACTAAACGTCAAATATTGATAAATGTTTGATTTTTGATAATTTTGAACGCAAAAGTAAGAAGAAAAAAGAAAAGAAAAAAGAAAAAAGCCAAAATTACATTGCGCTCCTAGATTCGGAATCACCTGCATCTCAAACGGATCGTCAACCTCACTTTTGTATCACAACGGGGTGGCGTACGCGCTGCTAATGCGTCGTCCAACGGGTCAGACCGTTGGTGCGAATGCGGACATCACATGTGAATAATGCAGTTTTAAAAATCTTTTTCAGTGCTCATGCGATTTTACCCTGAATTTCTAACCTTCTTTTGGCTAAGCCTTCTTTTGTTCAGAATTAAACAAAAGAAGGTGAGGAATTCGGAATAAATCGCATGCGCAATGGAATCGATTGTTTGATGGGTTGTTCTCTCCTATGCCGCGAAGGTTTTTCACCGAGTTATGCGGTTTTCCTCCCTCCTTAAAAATCGTCGAACTTTATGCGTCCTTAGCAACAGAGCCACCCTACCTTCATGTAAACAGGGCCTCAGTCGGAAGAATAAGGATATTTGCATTGCTACACATTAAACTGCTCTCATCTTACATTCTTCTTATATTAATCATATTAATATATTTCATTTTCAATCACGACATCCTTCTAACATCTGATACTGTATTAATCTTTAACGTCTCAGCTCAAAGACTGCCAATCTTCGTACGACTACAAATGATGAACTCCTCCGGGACTATTCCTCTTCAAACGTAACACGAAGTAAAACCTGTATGACTTTGAAAAATAAGGGAAGATTCAGGTATAACGTTGATAACCTGTAAAAAAATGATTCTATTAGGAATGATAGAAATGGGAATTTAAAGTTCTGACTTAGACAATAGCGAACCAATCACCATAGAGATTTTTCACCATCACGTGCCGGCGCCATAATCCAGCTTGGACTTCCTGTGGTTATATGGTAGAACAATAAATCCCTGTGCTCTCGGGAATTGAATTCTTTTTCATGTAAAACAATTGTATTGTTCCTGCCATCCAACATGGCTGTCGTCACGTGATGGTGCAAAACCTCTATTCTCTACTTTCACATCCCCATAATGCCTTGCGTCTTTGGGGGGTAACCAATCAAAAAACTGTCCCAAATCGAAAAGTTTTTTTAATTGAATTTATACTATACCTGCTTTTATCGGTACAATACTGATTATCAGTTTATTCCAAGTTGTTTTCGCGTGTACAGATCATGAAGAGTTTTGGTCTTACAGAAAATGTATAAACGTTTAAGATTTACCTGTTTTTTACTTCTTCATTTTATTTTTGGATACCAAACAAGGTATTGTCAACTTTGTCTGATCAGCAAAATAAGTGGGTTTTTACCCTCTGGTTACTACCCCCAAATACGCAAAGTATTATGGGGATGTGAAAGTAGAGAATTGCAGCATTTTTCCAGTGGAATTAACATCTTTTCCCACAAACCACTGACACGGTATTTGATTTAAAGACTACTACAAGGATTACGAGGAGGCAATTTTCTGTCTTTTCACGGACTGTAAACCATTGAAACAATGTAATCATTTTTCCGGGATGAGAATTGTAAATTATGCTAGACATAGCCACGAATAACAAAGGGGAGTCGGAATTATGAAAAGGATTGAAAGTGAAGAAAAGTATACCATAGCTTTAACACATAAGAGTGGGTATACACTCCTTGCAGTTCAATTCCAGTACAGATGGATAGAGAGGGCAAAAGCATATGGCTTTTTTATTCTCTCGACAATCAAAATTCATTGTAGTGTCCCCTAAACTGAACTTCTCTTGGAATCCTTGCAAGGGGTATATATGTTTAAAGGCCAAGCCTTAGGCCAAGCCTTGTGTCCCGTTGTGTCTCCTAAATCGCAATTGAAGGAGATGGAGGACTATTACCATACTCATCTAAGCATTAGTGTGGTGCCTTCTCTCTGGGGTCGTGATTTTCTTAGACTTTCACATTGCCCTCAGTTACTTAAAAGTTTTAAATGCTTCAGAGGGTTGAATCCAAAGCCCCTTGAAAAGCAGATTAATGCTAAACCAACTATTGCTACGACCCTTGAGAACTTATTGATAAAAACGTGCTGCTTTTTTCATTACAGAACTCCGGAAAATGCTCCTCCTCTCAACCAGCGAAGAACGATCCAAATGCAACGAAGCGAAAATGGAGGCTTTGGATTCACGTTGCAGGTAATAATACCTAATCGGGAAACAGTTTACTACTGAAAAATCAAGGCTCTTTGTGTAAACTCGGTATTCGTCTTTGTTCTCTCAGACGTACGGCATCGTGCAACTGGACGGGGAGGTGGAATATATGACATTTGTTCTTGCGGTGGAGGAAGATGGGCCAGCCTACATGGCAGGGATGAGACCTGGTGAGTTAGACAACGAAATATTTCCAAATATATACAGCTATTCCAGACAAAAAATAAGATTGGTGAAAGTATTTTGCACAGCATGGGCGATGTGAATTCAATCATTTTAAAGCTCAAAACGATATGGACGGCTCTCGCAATTCCATCAACCTTTTTCTTCACTTATTTTTTCTAAAATACTAAAAATGAATATTGGATAAAAAATAATAATATTGGATTTTGCCCAGGATGCTGAAGTAGTCGATTTTATTGTTCGATAATTAGTTGGCGTTAACATTAATTTAGGTTTGTTGTTCTTAGCTGTTTATTAGCCATTCTGAGGTTGAGGGGAAAATCTCGAACGAGTTGGTATTACCGTGCATCTAGGGGCTGTTTTAGCTGACATTTCCAAGATGGCGTGTATTTTAGTACCCAAAAATAGCCCCGCAATGAAATGCTAATAAGCCTGAAGCGAGATGACGTTTCTAGACCATAATCCTTTTCACACTGCTTTTGTTCTTAAATTATGACTATTGTTCCTGTGTTCTCTAAGGAATCAAAAATTTTAATATGAAAGAATTGAGGGTAAGACGTCATCTCGCGTCAGGCTTATTCGACCCAGTTTTTACCCACCTTATAATGGCTAAAAGCTATTCTCGATTGTTACTGACCTTCATGATGTGCGGTATTGGCTTGACATTTTATTCTTTTGATTTATTTTGACTATTTGATTATTAGGAGATATTATTATTGTCATTGAAAGCCAAGATACCGAGGAGGCGGATCACAAAACCATAATAGAGCTGCTCCAAAAAGCACCAGCAACAGTAAGGTAAGAGAAGAATGTAAAAATATGTATCCTTCCCAGAAATGCTAGATATTGTTTTTATTTTCCTGTTTAATTTTGTCTTGTATCGATATATAAAGAGTGTGACCTTTCTTTTACCATTAGCATTAAGAAAAACTAAAACCTAACCGCTCTCACTCCACTGCCTCCACTCTTCTCCGACACCATCTCCCAGACCACCATGTCATCTTTCCCCTTTGTCACTTCCATCACCAACACCACTTACACCATTACAGCCCTATCCACAACCATAACCAGCACCGCCCTCGCTACTACTTCCTCCATGACGCTGGTTCAAACCCTTCTCCACCTCTTCCAACACCACCACCACTACCACTTCCTCAATTACAACCCTTTCCAGCTCCATCTGCACCACAACTAAACACCAATAACTTGCAATTGCTCGATCAATCGACACAAATTTGAATAACTGTGCGTTGACTTTCTTTATTTGTTTCTCAGAATGGTCGTTGTCTTCGTGGACGCAATCAGGAGAATGCATCTCAATACGAAGATCAAAGTCTTAAAGGTAACGCTAAAATATATTATTTGGACCCCTTTTGCTATTTCATTCAAAACTAGACATGGCTCGGTGCCATATAAATTCAAAAGCTACTTTCAGGGATTCATAGCTTTATTTAATGTTACAAAATTAATTATTTAAAATTAATTATTTAATGTTCTAAAATGTGACATTTTTCAGAGCGAACTAGAGGATAAAGAGGACGAGTTCAACAGACTAAGTCAAAAGGAGCACGAACTCGTAACGCACAAGAGTAAGTCACCAGTCATCTATCATAAATTGCGGAGGGACTCAACCCTCCTAATATTTCAGGTATTTTGTCATTTGTTCTGTTTAAAGGGGTAAACGTGCAGGGGCTATGAGGAGAAGAAAGCCGTGGTGAGTACCCCCTCCCTGCTTCCCTGCCGGTAGGTTTCACAATTTTGCTTTTGTTTTGCCTTTCTTTTTGCTAAATCATTTATAGGTATCTGGCTTAGAGTTTGGGGGTGAACTAGAAGTGCTCTTATATTACATATATAGAATAGTTATAGTTTCCTTTAGATTCAGTAGTATATAGACCCCTTGCAGCACTTCGGAATGCAACTGAATTTCGAGGGCAAAACAATACAATTCCAATTCTCAGAACATTTAAAATTCTTTTGTTTTCCCCCCTACAAATTGAGCTGTTTTGACGTCACATACAACGGGTCTATTGACTATTTTTAACGTTTGTTTTCAGACACTGTAACAAATCTTGATATACTCGGGCCGCCTCGAAGTCGCGACAATTCCTATCTCTACACTACAGAGCTAACGAGTTCCTTCTCTAAGGACTCCCCCAAAGTCAAGGACAGCTTGATCAAATACAAACAGGAACTAGACGAAAAACAACCCCGAAGACAATCCTTACCTGACCGGAGCGAGCTAAAGAAGCGTCACCTAGTCTCAACCACGGGCAACGAATTACTCAAGAGCTTTGCATCATCTGCAGAATCGATGTTGAAGAAATCTGCCAGTGTAAAACTCAAGAGAAAAGTCATGAAAGCCAAGCCAACGTCCAAGACTTTTAAATCCTACATCGATCTGGACGATGGGGACTTCCAAGATGAAGGTCCGCTTAGAACCTCTTCTCCTCTTGGTACTAAAATTACCAAAGATACAGAACAGTTACGTTTATCATGGCCGACATCTACACCTGGAATGCTAGCTCCTTCAGCAGAGCAAGAAGATAAAACCAGATCCTTGCCTAACAACACCGGAGGGTTGTCAAGTTCACCAGTAAATGGAAACAGCCAAGTAAAGGACGGCAAAGGAAAATCCAAAACCTCAAACACTGCGAGGGATTTATGTACCTCACCGGGGCATGTACCCAGCGAAGTACGAGACGATCAGGAAACGAAGCCATTGTCCTTGAAGGTAAAAGGCTTGGGTAGTTTGACAGCAAACGGACCAAACCCTGGGAAAAGTTCCCTAGTGGTAAAGGAATCGGAAACAGCCCCAGTGAAAGAGTCTAGTAAATTGACAGCAACTGATACTGCAGCAGAGACAAAAAGAACCTTAACAAAGGATACAAGCATCAACGACAACAACTCTGTCAGCAATGATGCTGGAATAGATACACCAAGCACAGGTGTTTCAAAAAACCGAGACATTATGGCGGTTAACAATGTCCAGTCCTCACGGACCAATGATGACCGCGGAGGACTTGAAAATAACCAAAATAAAAAATCCGATAAAAAAGACGTCAACGTGAAATCTGGAGAAAATTCATCATCATTGACTAGAGATAGTGAAAATGCGAACAAACCAGGTGATGAAAATTTGATAAACAATACTTCAAACACCGAAAAATGTTGTCCAAATGTAAACGCAAAGAAAGAAGATTCAAACAGAATTAAACTGTCAGATTCACATTCTCCCACATTATTACAAAAATCGCCTAAAGTCCCCAGAATGAGTAAGCCTTACTCTTTGATGTCTGGTTCATCGAGCAAAGATCGCCCATGCTCCAATAATATTGCTTCATTACGTAGAATATTCGAAGGTCCAAACCCACCATGTAATCGTAGTCCGGATATTGTCGAGGATGAAGAACGGGACGCGTTCCCCACTGACATTAAAAAAGATAATGTGATTAAGCCACCGCCTGAGTTTGCGGCGAAACCAAGAATGGGATCAATGAGACCTATGTCGTTCATGTGTGCCATGGACGCGGCAGAAGAGTCGCCTCTTATTCCTGACGAAGAAACAGAAAATAAAGAGGGGCAGAAAATTTACGAGAGTAGTGCTTAGGACTAGGTTTTTCTAAGAGATCCTAACCAGGAAAAAAAAGCATGAAGAGAAGAGGTGACACTTGGACTCAGGGACTTGGAGAAAAGCATCATGAGCAGAAGAGATAAATGATTTCTTGCGACGGCTTATTGGCAACTGGTTTGTCCCGTACCGATTCCCGCTCCCGGGCACCCAACCTGCTGTAACCGTGGATGGGGAACTTTGATAACGATGATCACCCTATTAAACTTGCCCGATCAGCTACAAGATAAATGAATATTTGAAATCAAAAAGCCTCGTAATCCCACACTTCTGTTTCGTTCTCGAAATGTAAATATATTTGGCCGACGGAAGACTTAGAGTTATATATAGTTTACAAGAATATTATAAAGTGCAAACAATATAACCGTGAAACTTTAGTAATACTAAATAGCACAATTTCATGCAAATTCTATTGTTTTCTATTGCTTAATTAGCACTATTTTGTACTATTTAGTAATTAGTGTTTCACGGATTAATTGTTTGCACTCTACTAGCAATAGATCAGACAATGGCCTAAAAAAAGGTATAAAATTGATATAAACAAACTAGTTGTCTATAAGTTATCTGATTGGCTACACTACAGTAAACAAATTAGCAATAGATCACTTGCGAGTGGGGAAAATGAGAACAAATGCATCTGTCTTTTTTTATTTTGCCATTTATATAATTATTTGATAGGTCTGGCTTCATTAGATTGGCCCTTTGCAGCTCAGTAATCACGTGCTGATTAATTCACYGAGAGCAAATGAATGAACATTTTGATTCTCATGGGTAAAATTTACTGGAGAGCAAACACTTTCTACAACCTGTTTTGAGAGATCGTAATAAGACTGCATTTCGTAACACACTGGTTGAACATCGTTTCATTCAGTTCTTTACAAGTAGCTAAAAAGAATCACCAATTTAAAATTAAAACAAAAATTTTGCTCTCCAGTACAGACACGTGTCCGTGAGCGGCAAAGAGCCTTGAATAACCAAGACGATTTATATGAGTTAGAGAATGATCTATTTTGCAGTTTAACCTTGGTCTAAAGCCATTTTTATTAGTCATTCTGAGGCTAAGAGAAAAAAGGTCAAATTAGCATTGCAGTGCATTGTGGGCTGTTTGACTGGACAGAATCTAGTCTCGAAAATGTCACCTAAAACAGTCCCAAAATGCACTGCAGTACCAACTCGACCCAGTTTTTTCCTCGACCTTTGGTCTTTGAAAATGGTTTTTCAAAGGAATTCCTGGCTAGTTTATTTATATTTAAAAAAAATTAGAATTCTAATGTCAAATAGAGGTCATGTCGGATGATATAGCAATTGTCTGGGTTCCAGTGCTTCTTTGTTGTAGGAGGACGAAAAGCACTGGAGCGATAGAGCCATGAAACCCGTGAAATAGCTGAAAAGTGCGGTTTAATTTAACCAATATAGCAACTATGAAAACCAATTGTTAATACTCCTTTTTACAGTTCAGTTCAGTGATCGCGAATAATAGTTCCAAGTCGAGGCTGGAGTTTTCGCGCATAGCAAAACTATGCTTTTTATCATGCGCGGTAACTCCAACCTCGGCTTGGAACTATTATTCGTGGTCACTGAATGGAACTGTAAAATGGAGTATTGGTAATTTTTTAGTGAATTAATCAAACTTGTAAAGTTTGTTGTGATTAATAGATTTTTTTAATGGATTATATTTGTAATTTATTTTTAAATAAAGAAAAGATAGTAATATAGAGTGTTTTTGAATTGGTTTATAAAAATAATAAATCGAGAAAGAAAGAATTTATCGAAGTATTTTTGGAGTGTTTATTGTGCTTGCTTTGTTTTACCTTATTACTAGTCTCCGTTGCAGCCGTGATTAGTGTCGGCCCGAATGCTTCCCTCCCAACCTCCCCGCTAATGTCTGGTCAGTGGAGCACTACATTCCTTTCCCATTCTCTGGCCAATCACAGTTAACCTACTATAATCTGAGACATGAATCCTGATTGGCTAAAATAGTAGCCATCCATGTTGTATTCTTAAAGCCAACTGCCAGCCATTAAAAACACATAAGAAATCGTCGCCTTAAGTCTTGCATTTCCGTCGAAAAGCAATTARAAACTGAAATGTAACAATGCCTGATTCTCTTGTCTTATTAATGAGGGTTATTTCCTTGAACACTTTGGAAGCTTCACTACAAACAGGGCCAAGAACCTTCTTAATAGCAAGGGCGGATCCAGGGGGAGGGTCGGGGGGGGGGGGGGGTCGCGACCCCCCTGTCATTCCTGAGGTCAAATGGGCTTCCTGTGGTAAAAATGCGACTGGGATTCCTTTGCCCACAAAATTTACCCCTGAGACCCCCCCCTTCAAAAAACCCTGGATCCGCCCTTGAATAGGGAATGTGCACGAGCACGAATCTCTACTACAGAGCATGATAGAAAACCGAGTACTATAAAAATTAGAAAAAGAAATCAATAGAATTATCACCAAAAAAAGAAAAAACTCTTATTTTCGTGTGTCGAAATACTGTTTTATAGAAAATGTCGAAGGAAAAAGTCGTCAGAGGAATTTTTAGAGGAGCTGAAATCCCGTAAGTACTCGGTTTCCCATCATGCTTTGTGCTAGAGATTCGTGCTGGTGCACATTGGCTATTCTTGAGGTCAAAGGCACTCGAATTTGCAATCCTCTTTGGTGAGCCGTGAGTGAGCGCTTTGTATGAAGAATAAATGTAGCTTTCTGTTCTTCTTAGAACTTCTTGAAAAGTTTGCTTGATAAGCGAAGCGATTTCACGACAGGTGATCAGTGGCACTTTTGACTCGTATTGTAATTAAGCTCAGGATTCGAACTTTGAATGTCTCTATCAACGTTCGCTTCACACTGTTCAGCTCCTTTTGTATGTTATTGAGCTTCGGTAATTGCTTGTAGAAAAAAATATGCTGATAAATATAAAACTCGCAGCGTTGAAATATTGACAGATTGTTGATACGCCGATTTCAAATGATTTCAGCAAACGACGGACGACTTACAAAAAGAAGCTTTATACTATTTATCGCTATTATTGTCACATAAAATATTTTCGAGGAAAATACCTTTTCTTGACCGGAATAAAAACTACAAATAAACCTAAATAGTGATTGGTCACTGCAGGACAATTGCTGCAAAGGAGACTAACTTGTTACTGGGTTCTAAAAATGCGTTGTGTCTTCCTATTTTCCTGTCAGAAAACGCCAAAATTGTGCAATTCGTGGTTTTCACATGACATAATCACGTGACGGATTTAGGTTGACAGGAATAGGATCGTAATTCATACTCCCAAGGGCAGAAGGATTTAATCGCCGTCAGGTCCCTTCTCTCTTCCGGGGTAGGTAAAGGAGACTCTGCTCGCAGGGTGGTCCGAAGTCCATACGCCGCCTCATTTCTACGGATGTCTCGGGGGTATGGCACAGTGGAATCGAATTTTCCGAATTTTTTTTTTTGGTGGGTCTAAAAAACTTTGTCAAGAGCACAGAGGTTTGTGACGAGATATCTAGTGTTGTTTGAAGTTGACAAAACATTTTAAATTCTTTGACTCCGGGAACCTTTTAGTCTGTCTTTGAGAAGAGGAGGGAAATAATAGTGCTACTATTAGTATTCTGTATCAGAAAAGTTTTGGTGGCAAGTTAGCAATATGCTCAGACGGGATTTATAGGGGATCAAAAATGTGACGTAGGACCAAACATGGAAACGAGGCAGTAATGTAAAATTGCTTGTAACTTTATTGAAAATGCAGTGTTTCTCACGCTGTTTAAGTCACGTGACCTGATAATGTACTGATTCTCACGAAACTCGAGTAGATTATCATTTTTAATGAATAAAATTGTTAATTGTCTTTATGCATAGGAATATAGTCACGTGACCTGCTGGGCATGACAAAGAGGCTGCAACATAAAATTGCCTATAACATTGAAAATCCACTAATTGTCACGAAACTCAATAGATTACATTGTCATTCTCAGTAGCATTATTTACATATTTTAACGGGCAAATGCTTTGTTATAGTAAAGATATGAAAATATTTATGCCRAATAATTCAATGGAAATATCATCATAAATCAAAATAGCAAGAAGATTCACGCTAAAAGCGTCATAAAGATTAATGTCATCATAGGCAGAATGCCAAGAAGTTTCTCCACAGGGTCTTCATGTGACTTTTTGAATATCACATTCCAGTTCGAAAAAAATTGACAAAAAGCAATCCTTTTTGGTGTCACTGCGAAAATGGCTGCACTCAAATCGCTCAAAGACATCACAGACACCTTCGAAGGACAACTGACGTACTTCCTTTGTCTAGATGTATTCACCAACCCCAAAACTCTCGCCTGTCTTCATAGTTATCGTACAGGTGGTATCGCTCAATGGTATCAGACCAAGGGCCGGGGATCAAGGCAACAATCGAATGGACTGTCCCATGTGCAAGACGACCATAGTTGTGGCAGACGGCGATCCTTCAAAGCTACCTTCTTCATTTTACTTTGATTCCCTTCTACATTTGCTTCATGCGACGAAGAGGAGGACGCTAATCAACCAACATTGCGTCAGCTGTGAACAACCGCAAGTCTTGAATGCATTTTGTGCACAGTGTATTGGCTTGATATGTGAGGCTTGCTTCAACGCCCATAAAACCCACAAGATATATTGTAATTAAACTGTTAGTTTTTCAGTTATTTATCTTCTTATTTATTTGTAAATCTTCAAACATTTAATTAATGTAATATATCGCCTCCCGCCTAGATTAGTCTAGTGCTTTTTGCGGGAGGGTGATAAATTGTGTAAATATAGATATTCTTTTGTAAAATAAACTTGAAACATATATAAAGAAATAGAAGATGAGCACCAGCCACAGTGCTCAATAAATTTAAAGAGAAAAACGTAAACAGTTTCATTTAGAACCAGATGCTGTTTCCAACTGAGGTCCACGAGAAAAAGAATCTTGAATAATATTGTCCAGAGGAAACGCGAAGACACAGCGTTTGCCAAAAATTTACTTTTTTTGGATCATCATTCAATACCACCAACTGCAGAGCTTAGAAAACGCTGGACCGGATTCAAGAAAATTGATCGAAGAGCAACGGAAAGAAAAGGACAGACAATAATTAGAACAATCTAAAGTACGAATAAGGTATTTGTTTCTTCAAGTTTTTAAAATAAAATTGACGACTAGTATACTCGACGTTTCGACGCCCTCCGGCGTCATTTTCAAGAGCGAAAGTAAAGCAAAGTAATAATTTGAATATATAAAGTTCTGTAAATCCTCATGGGAGTTCTCTAAAGTAAATAATTCGAAGAGAGATTTACGTGACAAAGAGGAATGTTGATGATGTAGTTAAAATTATTTGTGATGTGGCCAAAGAGCACACGGAAGGGCGATGAAGGAAGAACTGAACCAGACGCTCTAAGAACTAACAACAGCAAACATAAATGAAGAGCACACGGCTATCAAAACAGGATTAAAAGATTCAGAATAATTTGTGCAACATTGCCGAGCATCGTTGGAGAGCCACGTAACATATGAGGAAATGGAAAGTAAGGAAATGGTTTTAGCAAGAGCTTAAAGTGCAAGTAAACCAATTTTTTTTATGTTTTTGAGCAAAAGTTCAACCATCTAGAAATACGAATTTCAAAAATTTTTTATGATATTCCTATTTTTTCAATTTTTTCGAGCCATTCAAAGTGCCCGAAAACAGCCGTTTTGGGATTCCTGTCTTATTTAGGCCAAGCAGAGAGATCGAACGATGTCCTGGACTGATGACGTATCAGGAGTAAGTCGAGCGACGCAGAATTTTTATAAACACATGTAAACTTTGCTATAGAAAGCTTCAATCCTGCAAAAAGTTAGTGCAATAGTTCTTTTTCTTAGAGATTAGAAGGCGAAATACCTTATAGATGCGTAGCAGGAGGCTGTTCCAACTTTCCAGATTCTGAAAGAAATATAGGTTTACATCAATTTCCTGAAGAAAATGATAGAAAAMGAAGAAGGCAGTGGGTAAGCTTCGTGCGAACAAAACGTGCCAAATGGTCACCTACCAAAAACTCTCGGTTGTGTTCTGAACACTTCAGAGAGGACGAATTCGAGCATCATTTTGTCCATATAATCGGAACTCCGTTTGGAAACAAGAGAGTTCTAAAGAAAGACGCATTTCCAACMATTCACAAGGAATTGGAAGAGAAGCCGAAGGAAGGAGAGAAACAACAACAATCAGAAGCTCCTTCAATCTTGTACCGTCAGCCAATCCAACGTGACTGGACAATACGATACTCCGTGACAGAGGAAATCGTCACGCAAGTAATGCATAACAACACTGGTAGGATCGTGAAGAACCCGACGGGCCCTGCTCAATCCACAATTGAGTCACTGAAAAAATAATTTCCTCGTTTTATAAACGAGTGCAAGATAATCACCAGGAATACAGAATGAGAAGTGTGTACCACAAGAATCGAGTCTATCGATGTTAGAATAAAAGATTTAGAGGGCAACGACGTGGGAAAGAAAGTGCCTCAAGAGCAAACTGGAAAATACCGTCGTGAGTTTTAAGCCACACAAAAATAGACGGCAAGAAATTAAGGTAAATATTGGAGGAGAAATGATCAAGAACTCGCCTCAGAATGTTCAAACCTGTGAAAAACCTTTGGACGAAGTGGTGGAGGACAGTTGCATAATCCATGGTCAATAGCAGTAAGTGATAATGAAGCCATTGCTGAGTAGAGTAATCATTCAGATATTATTCTTGATGGAAACTATTTGAGAGAGTTTTTGCAGCCAATGAACAGGAGACGACGGTCAACTATATTGTCCATTTGGATTGGTGTTTAATGAAGATATAATAATTGTCACTTATTGTCCAGATGGTAAAGACAGGACACAAGAGTTGGACTTGAACGGTACTTATGTAAGAACCATCTACAGACCTAGCTAACCAATGGTTTGTACCACGTAGAATGTACGTTAGCGATGATTTGAACATCGCAGTATGCTGTAAGGGAAAAAAACTGGGTATCAAACCAAGTATCAAGGTGTTCAATAAGCAATAAACTTTGATATGCCTGATAACGAACAGCCTTGGTAAATCATGTTTGCTGGGGAAATACTTCATAACTTTTAACCAAAATTATGTTCGTGTTGTTGATGCGAATGGAGTTTTCTTGTACAAGAAAATGGAGAGAGAGACTGTCAGTTGAATGTTGTATGTGGACTGGCTGTTTATGATTCAGACATGATTCTTGTCTGTTATGGTCATAATCACCGTGTTCGACCATTAACACAAGAAATTAAGTCAATTTATAAGGCCATTCAGTAGCCGTGGTTCGTGTTTGGTGTTAATACATATCCACCATTCAACACTTTGACATTTCTATACCTCTCATACAGTACAGCGAAATTCTAATCACTTGTTAATTATTTTTTTTATGAACACTGTGAGAAATACATTGACTTTTTTCCTTCTTATTGTTGCCGTAAGTAAACTTGAAAGTAGTATTTTTTAGTTTTGTAAATTCTATTTTCACGAGTTGAAATTTGATAAAATAATGTTTTTAAGTTGTGTATCATCTAATTCTCTCTACATTTATTCATTGATACTAACAGGGGATCGCGGGTCTGAATTCAAAATCCGAGAGAGGTTTTCCACCGAAATTCAAACCCCCCATCAAACATTAACGAACTTGCGGTCGTTTTTTAAACCAGTCAAAACGCACGTGCTCAGATTTGCATTGAAATTCAATTCATTCATGAAATTTATTGAATTTCAATAAACCCTCGCCCTAGCGTTTCAACCTTTATTTCGAACTTTGAATGTTATTTGTAGCCGTCTTTTACAACGTGGGAGAAATACTTACAGCGTGAATCTTTCTTGAAAGCAGTGGCATCCATTTTCCAAGATAGTTGAGTTGAATCGTTGACTGAAAACCGAGTAGACTTGGTTATTTTTTTAAAATATTTTAAAATGCAAGTTGTATGGAAAAACGAACCCTTTACGTAAACTGAGGCGCACAAAAACGTCCGTTTAGCAATCTGCATCGCTTTGTGATATTGCACTAACTCGTCATACAGTTTGGGATTGTTTGAAATTCGTATTTGTTCCATACTAACAACCAGTCATCGAAATTGTCGAGCAAATGGCGTCGCCGTGACTGAGTCACGTAGTAAGGTCAATGTTTGCTCTATCAGATTCCATGGAATCATGGTGTGACCCGGCCGAATTCATGACATGTTAGAAGAGAATATAGTCCTCCAAGGTCAACGTACTCACCACGTCGAAGTTATTTTACGATCTTTTCGGGCCGTAGAAGGTTATATTTAGGAATCTCACCACAGGGGCTAGTTAGTTGCTTGATTTCATGGGATCCTTTAGTTGCAGTGTTGCCGGTGACCTCGCATAGTGGAATGGTTGGAAATGTGTTTTGAGGCAGCTGAAGTGACATATTTTATCTGGTCTTCAGATCCTTTGTTATGCTGGATGGATTCTTGAAGGGCAAGCTCCCTTACTCCGGGCTTACAGCAGACACGAGAGCGGCACAAATCGAAGATCCGTCTGATGCTGAACTAGTGAACTATGCTGTGATCTTTATTTTAATTTAGTGGTCCAAATAAGGCATGTGACGTAGGAGGCGAAATACGATTTGATATATGTTCTTCGCTTCAAGATCAGTTAAACATTAAACATTAAACATATTAAGTAAGAGTTAATTACCGAGAACGGAGGGAATAAGCCATATACATTCCGAGGTTTGTTGCCGACGTTTGAGGTAATTAAGTATTTTATTTATTAATTGAGGTTTTTCTATCTGATGTTGCTATAAATGCGAAGTTCATTACTATATTGACCTCGCATTTATAATGAGGGTTATAACAAAAATAAAGCCTTGTGAATAACAAAGAAAACCGTGTCAA